TTTTTCCCCTTTTTTTTTTTCCTCATTTTTCCCCCCTTTCTCTACTATTTTTCCCCCCTTTTTCCCTCTTTCTTCCTCCTTTTTTCCCCATTTTCCACCTCTTTGTTCCATCTTTTGCCCCCCTTTTTTCCCATCTTTTCCCACTCTTTTTTTCCATCTTTTTCCCTTATTTCCCCTCTTCCCCCACCTTTTCAACTTTTCCTCCCCTTTGTCCTTGTATTTACCCTTAATTTTTCCCTGTTTTTCTCATTTATTTTGCTGTTTTTCCCATTTTTTGCCGTTTTCCCCCTTTTTGTCCATTTTTCCCCATTTTTTGCCGTTTTTCCCCTTTTTTTTTTCCTTTTTTCCTCATTTTTCCCCCTTTTCCTATTTTTCCCCCCTTTTTCCCTCTTTCTTCCTCCTTTTTTCCCATTTTCCCCCTCCTTTTTCCCATCTTTTTCCCCCTTTTTTTCCATCTTTTTCCCTTATTTCCCCTCTTCCCCCACCTTTTCAACTTTTCCTCCCCTTTGTCCTTGTATTTACCCTTAATTTTTCCCTGTTTTTCTCATTTATTTTGCTGTTTTTCCCATTTTTTGCCGTTTTCCCCCTTTTTGTCCATTTTTCCCCATTTTTTGCCGTTTTTCCCTGTTTTTTTTTCTGTTTTTCCCATTTTTTGCCATTTTTCCCCTCTTTTTTTCCTGTTTTTCCCCATTTTTTCCCGTTTTTCCCCATTTTTTGCCGTTTTTCCCCTTTTTTTCCTGTTTTTCCCCATTTTTTGCCATTTTTCCCCTTTTTTTGCCGTTTTTCCCCTTTTTTTCCTCTTTTTCCCTGACTTTGTCCCCGTTTCTGCCCCGCAGGGCGGCCCCAGCAGCCACAAGGCCGAGGAGCTGCTGAAGCAGCCGGATTATTCCGACAAAATCAAACACCTGCTGGGCAACCTGCAGGCCCAGCCGCCGGGGGGGCCCGGAGGAGGTGAGGGACACACCTGGGGACACCTGGGACATACCTGGGGACACCTGGGGACACCTGGGACACACCTGGGGACACCTGGGAGACACCTGGGGGGGCTTGGGGACACGTGGGGACACCTGGGACACACCTGGGGACACCTGGGGACACCTGGGAGACACCTGGGGGCACTTGGGAGGGCTTGAGGACACTTTGGGACACCTGGGGGACACCTGAGGACACGTGGGGGACACACCTGGGACACACATGGGGACACACCTTGGGGGGCTTGGGGACACTTTGGGGACACCTGAGGACACCTGGGGACACTTGGGGGCCACATTTATGACAACAAAGGTGGGGGGGGGCAGCGTCCCCTTAAACAGAACCAAAATGGGGACCCCACCCCCAATTGGGGTCACCTTGGGGGGTCCCCACCCCCCATCCGGGGCCTTTTTTGGGATCCCCCCTGACCCCTCCCTTCTTAATAATAATAATAATAATAATAATAATAATAATAAATATTATGTATATTATATATATATAAATCTATATTATGTAGTATATATTATGCAATACTGTATTATATAATATATATATATTATATATTGTATAGTATTATACTAAGTATAAATATAATATATATAATAATATAAATATAAGTAATATTTATTTATACGAATTTATTATAATAAACATTGTTTATATTGATTTTATTTCTTTCTTTCCTCCCCACAGTTCCCCACGGGCTGCTGGGCCCCGGCCCCATGAACGGCGTCCCCCCCCCC